GCGGGCCTTGTGAAAGGACGAGGAGCCGGGCGGGAGCGGGGGGTGGCAGCGAAGGACACGGGACCGGAGCCGTGGGAGGGGACGCAGGCGTGGCGGGGCGCATGGCGCCCTCCCGAAGCTCGTTACAGGGACGATGACGTCAGTCTCCCTGTCCTGGGTTACCGCAGGCTCCGCTGGGGCCCAGAATATTCTGATGGCTCCAGGGGCTCAGGGGTCCGCAGCCCCGCTGTGCTGGTTCAAAGACCAGCTCAGGAAGCTCCCGGAGCGGCACCCGCAGCCTCGGGGCGGGCTGGGCTCCTCCGCCCCCGCGTCACCGGCTGCTCCTCCGAGAGCCCGCAGAGGACCCCACGGCAGGCGCGCTGGTCTGACGTCTGTGCAGGACGAGTATGTCAAAGGCACAAACGTGGAAGCAGCTGGGCGGGCCGATGACGACCACATGGCGTCCTGGGGAGAAGCGATGTTCGCCTGCATTTTCTCTCCTTTTCAACAAACTCCCCGCGTCGGGGGAAAACGCCGGGCTGGGAAGAAGCCGTGCAAAGCGACAGGGCATGTGGGAAGAGGCAGACGTCCCCTCTGGGTCATTGGCCCGGACCATTACTTTGCAGGAAAAGGAGCTGAGTCCGCTCAGTCTGCTGAAACGGAGGGACCACGGCGGCGGCTTACACAGCAGGCATTTGTCTCTCCCAGATCTGGAGACCCAAGGCCAAGGTCGGGGTGCTGGCACGTCTGCTGTCTGGGGGGTGGGGGGCGCTTCCTGGTTCACAGCAGGTTCTCCTCACCACGTCTTCATCGGGCAGAAGGGGCGAGGGAGCTCTGTGGGGTCCCTCGCAGGAGGACACAGATCCCATCACCGGGCTCCACCCTCAAGACCGAGTTGCCCCAGCCCCCGGCCCCAACACCGCGTCACTGTGGGTTAGGGCCTCCACACGCAGCTGGTCGGTACGTGAGGGGTCCCGCACCCAGTCGGCCTCCGTCGTGCATGACTTCATGACAGCATGGGACGCGTTACGGGGCAACGGTGTCATTCTGCTCAGCCGGGAGCACCTCGGAGTGCTGGCCCCTTCCATGGCAGTCTCATGGGCACAGTCCACTTGGGATGTGGGCTCCCGAGTTCTCCAGCCCCAGAAAGGGACGGCGGCTTCTGCGTTATCGGACAAGGGCTGTGTTAGGTATGTGCGACTTTACCGCGACGGCCTAACCTACGCGCGACAGCCGGCTTCCTGTCGTCCTTCCTCGCGGCGTCTCCGGGAACCTCCTGCTTGTCCCTCGGCGGGAGCTCCAGCGGCATCTGCGGTCAGCTTCCCTGATGCCCGCAGGGGTTTAACGCCTGTGACCAGCTGGAGAGTCCATCCTGGAGTTCTCTGAAACGGAGGCTGAGACTCTGCAGCTTCGCTCGATGACCCATCCTGCTTTATAAGTCAGTCCTACAAACGTGTTTTGAGTGTCCGTGCCACGCCATGACCCGCACAGGCAGAAGTGTCCCCTGGCACGGAGCCGGCCCTGCCCTGCAGTCACCACCGCTTGCTCGGCCCCCAGGGGCTGCACCGAGGGTGGTCTGCTGGAGCTCCTGTGGGAGGGCCTGCTCCGGTGAGGACGCCTCGCCCGGCCAGATGTGCTGAACCAGAGCCATCCCTGCAAACGGTCCCAGGAATTGGAATCGCAGCCAGCCGTCGAGACAGACCCTCCACAGAGTGAAGGTCAGGGGCCGCCAGTCTAAGTCGGAGAGAAAATAAATAATACCGGAGGAAAGATAACATTTTTATAAAAACCATTTCTCCCAGGAGCAGAGAGAATCGAGACCCGTGAAGCCCAGGAAAAGTGGACCTCTGCGTGTGCAACGGGGACGGACGCCCCCCGGAGCGGAATACCTACTAAGCGAGCAAGCCGAGTCACGAGTCTTTCATCTGCGTGAAACCCCGGAGCAGAAGAATCACGGATCACTACGGCGCAAGTGGATATGGAGCCGCTTTCCCTTTGGCCTTGACTAGGCAACGCATGCGCAGCACGGACACTAATGAGGCACCGCGGCGAGCAGTGGAAGGAATCGGCCCGCTGGTTTAATGCCCACGCCGCCTGTCAGCGGGTGGGGCCGTGACACCTGCTCTCTCCGCCACGGCACCGCTGCTTCGGAGGACTCGATTTGGCCACGGTGGAGAGGGAGGCGACCTAGCTCAGAGAAAGAGATGCCCGGCAAAGAGCACATGCGAACGGCCATGCAGACTGAGAAGGGACGAGGGGACACTCGGGGCACAGCAGGTTAGCTAGAGAGGCTGAATGGTGGGCCACGCTAAAGAGGAACGTCGTGGGGACGCGGGGAGCGTGGGGAGTGAGTTCGGCTTTCAGTGCGTTGACGGGGGGGGGTGGCGCAGACACGCAGGAGGAGGCGTCTGGCGCAGAGTTGAACTTGGAGCTGCAGCGCGGCAGAGACAGCAGCGGAGGTGATGGCCTACTCGAAACGCTCGGGAGACGAGGACTTCGGAGCTGATCCCGTGCCCTAGAGCGTCCGGCTGGGGAGGTTGGGGAGGTGGCTTGGCCGCGTCTCTGCTGGCCAAGTGCTTTCCGGGGTGATGCCGTCCCCTATTCCTACCGCAGAGTGCTGGTCACCCAGCGGCTCTCTCGAGTGCCGGTCACCCAGGCTCTCTCGAGTGCCGGTCACCCAGGCTCTCTCGTCTCGTGTGTCCCAGGACTTGCTGTCGTCATTTCCGGTCTGTTCCGAAAATGCGCTGGTATCGCCCGCGGCTTTAGCTGGCACTTCCCGGTGGCCGATGACCTTAGACATCTTTCCCTGTGCTCGTCTGCATCGGTCTGTCCTTGTTGATAAAATATCTGCTCATGTCTTTTGCCCGTTTTTTAATTGGAATTTCTTTTTAACTATTAAGTTTTATGAGTTCTTTGTATAATCTGGTTACGAGTCCTTTCTTTTGTCAGATACGTAACTTGTTAATATGTGGGGAGCTCAGATTAATTTTATTATGCCCCACGATGAATCGCCACCAATGCAGCATCCTAGTCGCTATTTATTTTTTAAAATCTTCATTCTCAACAAACTTTGTGGTACCTAGAAATGAATGACCATCTTTACGGATCGCGCACACACAACGTGTGCCCAGCCGGAGTTGTCTGCCGCCAAGCAGTTGGACATAAAACACCGGCGTTTGGAAAATCGACGTGTCGAGGCAGCATTAAATCATGAGCGCATGCGCACGGCTGAAGGCAGCATGGACATGTCCGTGACCAGCGTCCAGGTGAAGAACCGCCGAGCTCCGCCCCCGAGCCGCCTCCGCCTGCTGCTCCCCGCTCCGGTTAGCGTTCATCGTTTTCCTCTGCCGCGGCGGGGGACGCCGCCGCCGCTCTCCACGGCCTTGGTTTTCACGCACGTGGACCACCCATCGCCCGTCGGGCCCTGGAGTCAGCGCACTTCGCCACCTCGGCCACCCCACCCCGGCGTTGCGGGGCGGCGCAGGGGTGAGGGGACCCGTGGCTATAGTAACAATGAGCTGATTGACCCGTGAGCCCCATCTTCTCACCTGGCCAGGCTTTCACTGGGTGCACGGCTCCCCCAACCCCCGCCGACAGCGACGCCCCCAGGGCGAAAGCCTTTGTTCTCTGACATGAAGGGGAGAAAAGAGCAAAGGACGCAGGTAATTCGCGAGGTGAGCCGTCCCCTCTGGCCTATACTCGCTCTATTGTTTTTTTCACTCGCTTTGCCATTTTTTGCAGGTGGGGTCTCCTCGCAACAAGGACCCGGTGCGGAGCCAAACACACAGTGGTCGTTCAGTAGCGCTTGTGAGGGCGCCGCTGACAAGTCTGTTCACTCGGAGGGCTCTTTCTGAAGAACCACGTTCCCGGGGCTCCAGCTCTGGAAGTGACTGCCCATGTCACTCTCGCCTCAAGAACCTGCCTCGACTGAGATGCTTAGCCTCACGGGTCCGCTCTGCCGGGCCATGGTACCCGGCGTTTTGGTCAAACACCGGTCTAGATGCCGTTCTGAAGCTATTTCTAGATGAGGCGAACATTTAAATCGGTCGACTTTGAGTAAAGACCATGATCCTCGACCGGTCACCCTCCTGTGGCACGCGGGTTTCTGGGTTTGGGGGCTTGGGCTATTGTGAGGGTCACGCGTCCGTCACTCATGGACCAAAGGGAAGACACAGTTGAACGGGCGAAGGAGGCCAGAGGCACTCGGCACCACCGCAAAGGGACAATCTTCTTGTCCAGAGGTAAAGCAGTTCCACGAGCAGAGAGGGGCGTGCCTGCCATTGAGAAAGGACAATCGTGCAGAATCCACCAGCGGGGCCCCCGTGGACTGCGAAGATGCTCGCGGGGTTAAGTAGAAACCAGGAGAAAAGAGTGATACTATAAGTGACTGGTGAAGTGGGGGTGATGACAGCCCAGGGCACACGCCGCAAACGGTGACCCTCCCCCCATTCAGCTGACCCTCAGGACGATAACGGGTTCTTGCCACAGACGCTGAACCAGCAGAGACACTGGGTCAAAGGTCTCATACTTCGCCTACAGAGGGGGGAAAGTGAGCCGACGAAAAGTTTTCTGGCCGAACACGCATTAGCCAGAAATAATAATTAAATTGATCACGTCCACAGAAGAATAATCTTTTTGCAGTTTTGGCACAGTAATATAAATACAAAAGTAAGCCAGTAAACCCGATACGGCGTTTGGCGATGGCCTAAGGACAAAGGTCCCCTAGGTACAGGCGGCGGCTACAGTATGGGGTGGTGAGTTGCTCCTGCCTCTGTCTCGTAACCTTCCCCAGTGCCAGAAACTTAAATTCTGCGTCCACAAGCCATGATTTAGAATGAGCCCTTATCACTTATTAATTTAACTTCCCTCCCACCCCCGCCCCCCCAAAAAAAACACGTTTCCAGGGAACTTCTTCTGTCCTAGAGGAACTTTTGGAAAATATTAACCAATTACTTCCGGTCTTAATTTAGAACCAAGTGAAGTCCTCGTGTACCCTTTCTAACGGGGTACTTATGTGGCATCTCATGCCAGTCGTGACTTCCTTGGAGGCCTGAGGATGTCCGCTGTAACCGTTTCCTAGTGATTTAATAAATGTGTCAATTTTCTTCACGCGCATGAAACCGTCCCCCAAGTGTACTTCCAGTGTTTCTGGGACAGAAACTAGTACTTAGTGTTCGAGCGCTAAGGGTCTTTGGAAGATCCAGCCCACCCTCCCTGGTCACTCTTGGACGAACGCTTCGTCTGTGCTTCTGGGATCCCCAGCATTGCGAGTGTGGGCGCCTGGGACCGAGCCCTGATTCTGTTGCTTATGGGACCTGGCTGAGACACCTGTACTTCTGTCTTCATTCTTCACCTGTGAAATGGGACTCACTCAGTCTACCCTTTGTCTGTCCTTGAAGTCGATGTGGGCGAGCGGATGAACAGCTTTGCAGTCTTCTGAGTTCCAGAGGTCAATGCGCAGAATCAAATAAATATTTCCGCTAATGGCTTGCAGTCCTCTCGCCGAAGTAGAAAGTAAAGACAAAATTTTAGTAGCAAATGCTTTTCGAAGGATTACAGTCAGCTTTGAATGTAATTTTCTTCTTTGGGTAATCTTAGAATTGGTGGTATGCGGTGTTTACTTTTTTATTTTTACCTTAATTTTTATTAATGTTTTTTAATAGCATTCCTATTGACTTAATCATTTGCAGCTGCTTTGCTCACCTGTTTCTCGGGACCCTGGAGCAGTCCCCAGAGTTTTATTATAATTTCCTCCGCAGCCCTCAGGCCAGC